CAGTGAGCTGAGATCCGGCCACTGCACTCCAGTCTGGGCAACAGAGCGAGACTCCATCTCAAAAAAAAAAAAAAAATTCTGTTAAGTGAAATAAGCCCAGATGCAAACAAATGAATATTGTGATTCCACTTAGATGACATGTCTAGAATGGGCAAGCTTTTGTTTTTGTTTTGACTCTCGCTGTGTCGCCCAGGCTGGAGTGCAGTGGCACAATCTCGGCTCACTGCAACCTCCACCTCCTGGGTTCCAAGCGATTCTCCTGCCTCCACCTCGAGTAGCTGGGATTACAGGCACACGCCACCATGCCCGGCTAATTTTTGTATTTTTAGTAGAGCCGGGGTTTCACCCTGATGGGCAGGCTGGTCTCAAACTCCTGACCTCAAGTGATCCACCTGCCTTGGCCTCCTAAAGTGCTGGGATTACAGGCATAAGCCACTGCACCTGGCCTAGATTGGGCAAATTTACAGAAACAGGAAAAAAAAAAAGAGAGAGAGAGAGGTTACCAGAGGCTGCCGGGAGAGAGGAATGGCAAATTATTGCTTAATGGATGCAGAGTTTCTGTTTGAAGCCATGCAAAGGTTTGGAAATAGCAATGATTGTTGCACAGTGAATGTACTAAATGCTGCTGAATCGTATGCTTAAAAATAGTTTATGCTCAGCGTGGTGGCTCACACCTGTAATCCCAGCACTTTGGGAGGCCAAGCTGGTAGGACCGCTTGAAGCCAGGAGTTTGAGACCAGCCTGAGCAGTGTAGCAAGACATTGTCTCTACAAAAAGTAAAAAAAAAAAAATAGCCAGGTGTGATGGCGCATGCCTATAGTCCCAGCTACTTGGGAGGCTAATGTGAGAGGATCGCTTGAGCCCAGGAGGTTGAGGCTGCAGTGAGCTATGATCACGCCACTGCACTCCAACCTGGGCAAAAGAGCAAAACCCATCTAAAAAAGAAAGGAAGGAAGTGGGGGGGAGGAAGGAAGGGAAAAAAAGAGAGAGGAAAGAAAAGAAAGAGAAAGATGAAAGAAAGGAAGGAAAGAAAGAAAGAAAAAGAAAGAAAGAAAAGAAAGAAAGAAAGAAAGAAAGAAAGAAAGAAAGAAAGAAAGAAAGAAAGAAAGAAAGAGAGAGAAAGAGTTTAAATGGCAAGTTTTATGTTATGTGTGTTTTACCACATTTTTAAAATGCATTTGTCAAAGATGTTGGAAGGATGGGAAGTCCCAACAGAAGGTAATGTCAAGAATTAAAGAACCAAGATGTCTTTCTCACCTCTGTTTCCTCAAATGTGGACCTCACCAAGAAGCCCATGAACCTGATTTTGGTACTATAGAAAGTGAAACTGGCATCCTCTGTGGCAATGGCCAACAGGACCGCCTGGTGGCTTCAGGGTATGAGGAATGAGAATGTTGCTTTGGTCCTTAGCACCCGTGAGAGCTGCGTGCTCAGGCCTAGTCTCACCTTGGCCCAGTTGGGTGCAGGGCCCAGTGACCAGGGCATGTTGGGGCACCACAGCTGCCAGGAGTGTTTCCTTCCTATGTGGGCACAGAGCTGGTGCTCCCCTTGGTGCTGAAAATCCCATTAGGTACTTGATAGCCCAGGGTCAGCCTGGAGCTCACAGAGCCAGGCCCAGTCCAGAGCTTTGTGTGTTCATCTTCAGGTCTTTCGGACATTTCTCAAGCCCAGTAGACCAGCTACTCTTTGCCAACCCTGAGAGTGTGGTTTTGACGTAGAAGTTGATTCAGCATCGCTTTTTTTGTTGTTTTTGTTTCTGAGACAAGTTCTCATTCTATTGCCCAAGCAGAAGTGCAGTGGCGCAATCATAGCTCACGACAGCCTCCTGGGTTCCAGTGATTCTTCAGCCTCAGCCTCCCAAGTTGCTGGGACTACACGCATGCACCACCATGCCCGGCTAATTTTTAACAGAGATGGGGTCTCGTTATGTTGCCAGGGCTAAACACCTTGGCCTCCCAAAGTCCTGGGACTACAGGCTTGAGACGTGGTACCTGGTGGGCATCCTTTTATGAAGTTAAGTACTTTGGGGAGATGTCGAATATCCAACTGCTATCAGTAACCCTTAGGTGACTCGGGAGCGGGCTCAGGGGCTCACGCCTATAATCTCAGCACGGTGGGAGGCCAAGGCAGGCGGATCACCTCAAGTCAGGAGTTCAAGATCAGCCTGGCCAACATGGTGAAACCCCGTCTCTACTAAAAATACAAAAATTAGCAGGGCGTGGTGGCCTGTAATCCCAGCTACTCAGGAGGCTGAGTCAGGAGAATCACTTGAACCTGGGAGGTGGAGGTTGCAGTGAGCTGAGACTGCACCACTGCACTCCACCCTGGGCGACAGAGTGAGATTCCGTCAAAAAGAAAAAGAAAAAGAAAAAAAAAGAGTAGGTAACTTGGTTAGATAAGACAGCTAGCTGAAACCAGGGTCCTGACTGACAGGTATGTCAGGGGCCTCAGGGGAGGGCTTAGAAGTCAGACACCTTGAGCCCCAGGGATGGTTTCAGGCAAGCAAGGCCCTGTGCAACATTGTGAGCCAAAGGCAAGGGAGAGGAGAGAAGATTGATATGATTTCCACCTTTTCCAAAACTCATCCTCAGGAGGCCAGGCCTGCTCCACCTTGTGACCCCTGCCTTGATGGAGCTCTGGGGAGACCCCCTGAGGGCTACTCTGCTTTATCTTTCTCACTCACTCCATCCAGGGGCCAATTCGTGGATCAAAGAAGCCCTCCAAGACCTCTGTGCATTTGCTCATCATTGATTTACAAGAACAGGAGCTTTGCTGGCAAATAAGCCTTGGGGTTCTAATGCTAGGGCTATCTACTACCTACGTCTCTTTGGGTATTCATGTATCCTTTCTAAGCCTCAGTTTTTTTATTTTTGATGTGGGTTTGTTTGTTTGTTTGTTTGTTTTTGAGACAGGGTCTTGCTGTGTTGCCCAGGCTGGAGTGCAGTGGCATGATCATAGTCACTCTAGCCTTGAACTCCCCAGGATCAAGCGATCCTCTCTCAACCACCCAAGTAGCTGGGACTACAGGCAGATGCCAGCAGCCCAGCTAATTTTCTCATTTTTGGTAAGACGGTGTCTCTCTATGTTGCTCAGGCTGGTCTCGAGCTCCTGGGTTAAAGCCATCCTCCTGCCTCAGCCTCCAGAGTAGCTGGGCCTACAGGCACATGCCACCATGCCTGCCTTATGTTTTTTAATTGAATTTTTTTTTCTTTTGTAGAGACAGGGCCTCGCTTAGTTGCCCAAGCTGGTCTTGAACTCCTGGCTTCAAGTGATGCTCCCACTTTAGCCTCCCAAAGTGCTAGGATTACAGGTGTTAGCCACGGTGCCCAGCCTGAGCCTCAGTTTTTGAAACCATGAGCTGGAAATTGTTAAGACCTGTCTCAGAGGCAGGTTGTGAGGATTAGGTGGCCCCTTACAGTGCCCGGCAGAGCAAGGGCTCAAGGACAACAGCTTCTGGAACTGCATTCCCCAAAGACCTGTGTTTTCTCCATCTGTGTGGGCAAGACCTAGGGCCTCCTGTCTCCCCCTCCTGTAAGAGGACCTGCAGGCGCCCAACCCTGCATCCCGAATTCATCGCGAAAGGGAAAACAGTGAATGTTTTTCCATCTCCATGCTAGAGTTTTGGACCTAAAACATTTAAAACTGCTCAAAATAGAATACTATTTTAATAGTATGAGTCCAAATCACACTGAAGGAATTTTGAAGGCCACATTCTCAACTTTTAAATGCTTTTCCCCCAGCTGCCCACCAAGATAAACACATCTCTAGCAGAAGCGTGCGCTTCCAAGCTCTGACAGCCTGAAGTTTTCCCAGTACGTTCCTAAGGAAGTTTGATTTGCCAGGATCCAAGCCCAACACCTGTTTGCAGGGCTCAGCCAGGTGCCACCTGCAGGGCAATGGGCACAGCCTGTAGCACTTGACCCGAGGTGATTTCCTTTTCACTAGGAGATGCCTTCCGAGGGTGCTGCCTCCCCAGTCCATCAGAGCAAACAGCCAGGAGAACTGAAAGAGCTGACTCCCTCCAACAAAGGCGACCTAAACTGGGGCCTCATGTCCAAGTTCACGTGCATCCAGGAAGTACCAGGTGATTTTCCTCAGGAGTATTACAATCTTGAAATTTGGAGAAAGACCAAATAAGCAAATAAATAAATAAATAAACAGGGCTAGGTGCAGTGGCCCACGCCTATAATCCCAGCACTTTGGGAGACTGACATGGGCAGATTACTTGAGGTCAGGAGTTCGTGACCAGCCTGGCCAACATGGTAAATCCCTGTCTCTACCCAAAATACAAAAAATTAGCTGGGCGTAGTGGTGCACACCTGTAATCCCAGCTACTCGGGAGGCTGAGACAGGAGAATCTCTTGAACTCGGAAGTGGAGTTTGTGGTGAGCTGAGATCATGCCACTGTACTCCAGCCTGGGCGACAGAACAAGACTCCGTCCCCCTCCCCCCCGCCAAAAAAAAAGGAAAAGAAATAAACACACACACATATTCTCTAGTATACTGGTCTGATCCCCATTAAATGGTCTTAAGGATGTTTGGTGTGGGTGACCCTTGAGGGTACTTCATAGATAGCAAAATTAAATTCCACCCCATGGGAGGCTGTGGCTCAAAGGCAGGGCATCTTCTACCCGTGTCCCCAGCCGCACCATCCTCCACTGAGCCCTGGTGCAGCCAACACTTTCTGAGAGCAGACAGGAACCCTGTCTACTGAGGGGTTGAGGACAGGAATGAAGTGTGCAGATTGCCTGGCCAAAGACACTGGTCTCTCTGGGCCTTTTTTCCTTTGAGACAGAGTCTGGCTCTGTTGCCCAGGCTGGAGTGCAGTGGTGTGATCTCAGCTTACTGCAACCTCCGCCTCCAAGTTTCAAGCAATTCGCCTGCCTCAGCCTCCCGAGTAGCTCAGACTGCAGGTGTGCACCACCACGCCTGGCTAATTTTTTTGTATTTTTAGTAGAGACGGGGTTTCACCATGTTGGCCAGGGTAGTCTCAAACTCCTGACCTCAAGTGATCCGCCCACCTCAGCCCCCGAAAACTCTTGGCCTCCCTGGGCCTTTCCTACTCTTTATTTTTTGCTAGTAAGCAAAAGACCAAGGCTTAGCGAAGAGGATACAAATAGGAGAAGCATAAAGCCACAAGAAAACCATACAGAAATTTTCAGGGATCTGATGTTTTTGGATGAGTTGGAGCCTGAAGATGGGCTGTAGATGTCGATGCTGGGGCTGGGGTGAGAGGGTAGAAGGCAAGGTGTTTTCTGAGTTCAGTTTTCCTGGTTTGCTTCTGCCAGGAAGTAAAGAGGCTGAGTACATTGAATAGGTCAATAAAGGTCTTGATTTTCCAGGATGGAGAAGGACCTGGAGCCAGGACATTGATGTGGATATAAGGCACCTGTGAGTGAGTTTGAAATCTGCCCAATATGATCCTACCAAGGAACTTAAGCCTAAGTTCTCGTGCTTAGACGGAGAACACAGACCGGCACGGTGATGCCCAAGTAGGAGGAGGGAGGGAAAGGAGTTTTATATCCACGCAGTCAGCAAACAGTTGCCCCATCCCCACAGTCCCCAAGCCAATGGGAATAAAGGTATTCTGTCCCCTTCCACACCTTCTCAAGTTCTGTGTAGCCATTTTTCTCCCTTCTTTTTTTTTTTGAGATGGAGTTTCGCTCTTGTTGCCCAGGCTGGAGTGAAGTGGCGCAATCTTGGCTCACTGCAACCTCTGCCCCCGAATTCAAGTGATTCTCCTGCCTCAGTCTGTGGAGTAGCTGGGATTACAGGCGTGCGCCAGCACGCCCAGCTAATTTTTGTATTTTTAGTAGAGATGGGGTTTCGCCATGTCGGCCAGGCTGGTCTCAAACTCCTGACCTCAGGTGATCCACCCGCCTCGGCCTCCCGAAGTGCTGGGATAACAGGCACGAGCCACTGCGCCTGGCCCTCCCTTTTTTTCAAGGCTCTTGTGGATATGAATTGAAAGTAGACCTTCCCTTTTCTCCCTCCTCCAATGAAAAGTTCAATACCAGCCTGGCCAACATGGAGAAACCCTGTCTTTACTAAATATACAAAAATTAGCTGAGGGCGTCTGTAATCCCAGCTACTCTGGAGGCTGAGGCAGGAGAATCGCTTGAACTTGGGAGGTGGAGGTTGCAGTGAGCCAAGATTGCGCCACTGCATTCCAACCTGGGCAACAGAACAAGACTCTGTCTCAAAAACACACACACACACACACACACACAAAAAGTTGGGTAGAAGAAGAGAAAACAAACCATGTGATTTCTCCCCAAAGCTCCACCTCCCTGAAGACACTGGCTGAAGAGTTCTTACCATCGTTTTGTTCCTCCACAAAGTTCTCAAATTCATTCCTTTGTTCCTCGTAATATTCTCTCCGCAGCTCATCAGCCCGAAGCTTCTGCCTGTTTTCCGCTGTGAAAGCAAAAGAAGCAAGAGTTGCCCCCCAGGAATGAGGACATTTAGGGGCACACACTTAGGGGAACACAGTTCATCTGAGAAGTCACATCTGGTTGAGGGGTGAGTGGTTTGTGGGGGATTGTGGTTGGAGACTTCCCTGAAATTATTTACTCCTGACATAGACTTTAAAATTTGAAGGTGATTGCCGGATCCAGCTGCCTCATTTGCAGGTGAGAAGACAGAGGCCCCAAAGAGTAAAATGATTTAGCTCTGCTGATAAAGTTGGTGATGTATCCAAGTATACCAGGCCACTGGGAAACCAGAAATCCCATGCTGAGAAATGAATTCCGTAAAGGAATAATCCAACTTCATCTCACAGCCATGCAACATTTTCAAACACTTATCACGGCCAGGATGTAGGCTAAGCACTGGAATTAAAAAGCCAAGTAACAAAGATTCCATCCCTCCAGCCAAGTATGGTGGCTCACGCCTATGAGCTTAGCTACTAGGGAGGCTAAAGCAGGAGGCTAAAGCAGGAGGCTTGCTGGAGGCCAGGAGTTCAGGGCCACAGTGAGATATGATCGCACTGCTGCACTCCACCCCAGGCAACAGAGCGAGACCCTGCCTCAAAAAATAAATAAACAAAATCCTTCCCTCTGTTTAAGAGACCTATAGTTCAATAAGGAGAAAGATATAAGACAAGTTTTACCAAGCATTACAGCTGTTGGAATAAAAATTCCCGGTTGTCTGGAGGAAACGATGTAAAGGTCTCTCCTTTCAAGGTATTTCCCCCAACATGAGCTTCAACTGGAGAAACCCAAGAAGCCAGGGAGGCCACGTCTAGGGCAAGAAGAACCGGTCCCTCAGCACGCCTCACAGTCTCACAGTGGGATTCCCCTCACATCAAATGAGGGCGACGGAGGTACTGGTTTTTTGCCCCATCAACTCTGATGTGCAACAGGAGGCTGGGGGATGATGAAGGAAGCAGAGAAAGGGGAAAGTGATGGTTCCCTATCCCCCAACCCATATTACAGAGGTGCTGGGAGAAGCAACGAAAAGTCTTTGCAAAATGATAATATTGGAAGCCATCTCAGGCCAGGTGCGGTGGCTCATGCCTGTAATCACAGCACTTTGACAGGCCAAGGCAGGCGGATCGCTTGAGGTCAGGAGTTCAAGGCCAGCCTGGCCAACATGGCGAAACCCCGTCTCTACTAAAAATACAAAAATTAGCCTGGTGTGGTGGCAGGCGCCTATAATCCCAGCTACTTGGGAGGCTGAGGCAGGAGAATTGCTTGAACCGGGGAAGTGGAGGTTGAGATCGCGCCACTGCACTCCAGCCTGGGCGACAGAGCAAGACTCTGTCTCAAAATAAATAAATAAGCAAACAGAAACCATCTCAAATCCTTCTTGGAAGTAAGACGCTTACGTTAATGAATTATATAAATACTAGTTATTTCTGTTACTTTTTTATTATTTAAGTTAACTCAGATTAAAAATCAAGTTAACTGTGAACTGGGCTTAGTGCAGATTCCAGACGTCTGGAATGTTTCTTCCCAAACGTCTGCCGTTACCTACTTAGTTGCAAGAAACTTGAGTCTGTCAGGAGGGGTTGGTTATCCCATCCATACCCATGCCCCACCTCTCACTCGGCATCCACACATTTCTCAGAGGAGATTCAGGCTCAGAGACATGCATGACCTAACAGAGGTCACACAGCAGGTTGGGGGAGAGCTAGGACACCAGGCTCCCACACGCCACTGCCAGCTCAGCTTCCCTCTTCCCACCCACTGTGGGTCCTGATGTTGCTCCAAGTACCAGAAAGCCGTGGTGGGAGGTGGGGGGGCTTAGGGTTTAGGAAGCGGGTACTTAGTAAGTCACTGCCAATTCCTAAAGAAACATTCTCTGTCCCCTGTGTACTCAGGACAGGAAATAATATTCCCAAATGGCCTTTTCAGAGGTGCCACAAACTGGAGCTTTGAGGTTATGAATAGTAACAATTTAATCCTCAGGACAAGATAGTAATTTTATACTATGCGTCATTCTGTGCATTGTGTACGTTCCTTCTCAAGAACATGCATTCATCACACTCTCTTTTCACCCTTTATCCCAGAGGCGTAGAGATGTCAGATGCCTGTCTCCTGGTTCCAAATTCAAGTTGATTGAAGTGTCTGTCACCAGCCCTTTATCCAACCTGAGGGATCGCTGGGCACTGCCCTCCTGCCATCCACAGGAGTTGACCGGGTGACAACAGATGCGTTCACACATCTGGGTGTTCACCAGGCTGTCCTGCACCTCCCACGACTAACAGACACACCGAGCTTCTGTCCCAGGTGAGGAGCTTCAGGTTAAATGGTGTACTCATTGTTTGGAGTCGGCTTAAGGGGACAGAAGAGGCTGTGCGCGGTGGCTCATGCCTGTAATCTCAGCACTTTAGGAGGCCGAAGCAGGTGGGTCACCTGAGGTCAGGAGTTCTAGACCAAAATTAGCCAGGCATGGTGACAAGCGCCTGTAATCCCAGCTACATGGGAGGCTGAGGCAGGAGTATTACCCGAACCTGGGAGGTGGAGGTTGCAATGAGCCAAGATCCTGCCATTGCATTCCAGCCTGGGTGACAGTGAGACTCCAGCTCAAAAAAAAAAAAAAAAGAAGACAGAAGCTATTTGCCTGGCCTAAAATCGTGCATTTCTCCTGGAAGTCTGTCAGAAGATTGCTTTTTCAATTTTGATCAAGAACAGTCCAGCTTCCCTCCCAACCTTTCAGTGCTTCTTGACATTGACCAACTTTTAAATATCAAGTTGTATGAGGCCTGGAGGTTTTCCTAGCATTGTTATGCTTATCAGAATTTTTTTTTTTTAAAGAAATTTCATCTCCAAGCATTTCTATCTCTGTTCTTCCCATCATTTGAAAACAGTCCTGTTATTTTTACCAAGCAAATCACCTTGCTGAGTGCCCTGAAGAATACAAAGAGTTCATTCACGCACAGGCACGAGGAGGAAAGACTCAAGCCAGAGACTTGGGCGGTAGGGTCTGAGCTCAGCGTCTTGGAAGAAGCAGATTCAGGAGGAGAAACTCAAATGCCCTTAGGGGTTGACAGGTCAAAGACATGAGGACCCTGAAGCCAGGACTCCACAGGCCCTACAGCAGGCTGTGTAGACAGGCTCACCCCAGTGCATTGAAAATGAAAACTTAAAAAAAAAACTGCTGGTTGAACACAGCTCTTTCAGAGGCTTGTAAATAAGGAAATTAGGACCAGAGGGAGGAAGTAGCCAAGGCCACTTAGCAGCACAGCTGTCCCCAGACCCACATTTCTCAGCACCCAGTGTCCTGTGCCTTCCCATTGTGCGAAGCTGTTGCTTTTACACAGAAGCTGTGCTGTGCCAGTACTCGCAAAGCCCACACTGATGTGTGGAGCTCCTCCAGACTGGAACATAGATTTCCCTCCCTACACCTTTCTGAAATCGAATGCATTTTATCCCTGTTAGGTGCATTTAATGTAGTAATCTAACATAGCCAAGAAGCGGGACAAGAGGACCTGTCTCCAAGTATCTTTGCAGAGGTGGGGCCTCCTTACCCTGACAAAGTATTCAATCCAATGTACGACCTACAGTCAGGAAATAGGGTGTAATTTCTCATTCAGAGCTGCAGTCCCTTTGAAACCCAAGGACCTGGGGTGAGCCCTTGGTATCTGGTTGCATCCTACCGCCTGGCTGACTGGGAGAGGAGGAGCCGGGACATGCAAGCAGAGGTGGTGATGGGGGGATCCCTCCAGCATCCTTACCATTGACCTCATCTCGGGACTTGGGGGACCGCTTGCCGCGCCTCTTGAGGAAATTCGAGGCATCTGATTCCTGCATGAAAATCTTCTGTTTTGCATCTGAAACCCAGGAGAGGCCTGTTACCAGCAGCATGGGGATGCCCGGGCTGCTGCTTCACTGGCTGCACCTGCCCTGCCCCGTGGGTGGCCCCTGCACTCACCTTCACTCACCTCTTCTTCCGCCGCCTGTGTGGTGCCCACAGATGCACCGGTTCCCTCTCTCAGTACTGTAGGACAAGGGCACAGAGTGAGGCTGCAGTGTCAGAGGGGAGCCCAGACCCTGAGTTGAGCCCCCATACTGCTTTCCAGGCTAAGCGTCCTGTCAGGCCCTGGCAGGAGCCCCGTGCTGTCTCACATACCAGCTGCAGAGCCAGTCTCCCCAGGAACCCACCAAGCAAGTTAGCCTGAGTTTTTCTTTCTATTTTGTTTCTTTCTTTACTTTTTTTTTTTCTGTATTACATTGTGTTCTACACACACACACACACCCCCACACACACACCCACACACACACACACACCGCTTAACAATAAGCATACCCCTTTTTACCTGCATCTCCTGAGCAGCCTTACCTGTGCCTGGCAAGTCTCCCTTACCATGTAACTAACACCCTCCACCTTGACCCTCCCGTACTCACTAGACAGGAGCACCACGGCGGAGAAGCAAGACAGCAGGAGGGCCTGTTTCCAAGTCATCTTTGCAGAGGTGGGGGCTCCGTCCAGGACCCACAGGGCAGACCAGGCGTCCTGCACCCTCCCAGGTCCTCACTTCTGAGGCAGGCAGCCCAGGCGAGAGGGAGGAGTGGGGAGGGAAGAGAGAGAGAGAGGCAGGAGGCTGGGATGCCACTGGGGGAGAGGAGGAGGGGGCCGGGCTGCCCTCTCTATTGGCTGCTCCTAGACGGAGCACCGGAGATGTTTTTGGCACCTGGCAAACGTCTCCAGAAGCAGAGCTTGTAGTTAGGGCCCTGGCTGAGACGGTCTTGGAGTGGCCTTTCCAATGTCCGTGTCTGGGGATCTGCTGCTGGGAAGGCTCATCCTAATAGTCAGGGTTCCAGAGACCAAGGGCTGTGTCAAGGAGGTCCTGGCACCTGCTCCAGGGACGTTAGGGCCCTGGTCCTCAGGGTTGAAGCATGGGTGGGGATGAGGAGGAAGAGGGGATCAATGGGGGAGTTTTGATCCAAATGTCAGGCAAGAAGGGCCCATAATGACTGGAACACCCATCAGGGCGACACACAGACGTGGGTCATGCTGACAGTGACCAGAGAACAGCTAACCTGATGCGCTGCTCCCAGCTGATGCTCACTGCCAAGCCAGACACAAACCCCTGGGGCCACGTGTCCCAGAGCCCTTTAAAGACAGCAAGGCCAAGAGGCCAAGTCTCTCAGCTAGCACATTCTATATCCTAGTTGTGATGGGGGGGAGACAAATGTTTTATGGCCTCCTTGTGTGGCACGTGGGGAGCAATGGTGATATGCCAGCGAGTTTACAAGTTTCCCTATAGACCCAAGGAAGTCATTGGTCAAGCTGGGAGCAGGACACACGGCTCGTGACGCTGATTCAGTCTGGATGGAGACCTGGTATTTGCTAAGTGGACAGCTCCTGTCAGACTTAATCTCATGGGGGGACTTCTAGACACCATTGTCATGGAGACAGATCCTATTTCTGTGGCCCGAGAGGAGAAATGCTATCTGGATGCTCCAGGATGCTCTGGCTCAGCACTAGAGAACTGGGTCTTTCACAGAGAAATAAGGAACCAGAAAAAAATTCAGAAATGTGGTCCTGACTCATGGGACTCTCACTTTCCCCACTCATCTGTGTCAACACAGTCAGCTCCGAGGGATGTCAAAGGAGTTAAAATTTTTTTTTAAACCGTCACTCTCTTGCCCAACACACAAGCGTTCACATCATATCTACAGCATTTCCTTCTTATTGCTCCTGAGACCTGAGGAAGGATGTTCATCTGTATTCTCCACGAGGCTCCTGGAGGCTGAGTTCTGACAGTCCCCTGGTTCCAAGGTCACAATTTGCCCTTTGGTACAATCCTTACTTCATCCCTACCAAATGGGGGACTCTCAGGGACATCATTAGTCCTCTGAGAATGAAGTGAAATGAAATAACACAATATATTATTTATTTATTTATTTATTTATTTATTGGAGACAGGGTCTTGCTTTGCTGCCCAGGCTGGAGTGCAGTGTTGCAATCATAGCTCACTGTAGCGTTCACCTCCCCAGCCTCGAGTGATCCTTTCCTGCTCAGCCTCAGGAGTAGCTGGGACTACAGGTGCCACCACACCTGGCTAATTTTTTTTTTTTTTTGAGACAGAGTTTCACTCTTATTGCCCAGGCTGGAGTGCAATGGCGCAATCTTGGCTCACTGCAACATTTGTTTCCCGGGTTAAAGCAATTCTCCTGCCTCAGCCTCCTGAGTAGCTGGGATTACAGGCAAGCACCACCATGCCCAGCTAATTTTGTATTTTTAATAGAGATGGGGTTTCTCCGTGTTGGTCAGGCTGGTCTCAAACTCCTGACCTCAGGTGATCCATCCACCTTGGCCTCCCAAAGTGCTGGGATTCCAGGCGTGAGCCACTGTGCCCGGCCCACACCTGGTTAATTTTTAAATTTTTTGTAGAGACAGGGTCTCCCTATGTTGCCTAGGCTGGTCTCAAACTCCTGGGCTCAAGCATTCCTCCTACCTCAGCCTCTCACAGTGCTGAAATTACAGGCATGAGCTACCATGCCCAGCCAACTATATATTCATAATATGAGGTATATTCATGGGCTTTTGAATGTTTGTTTCAAGTTAACATTTATAAGTGGGCCGTGGCATCCTCTGCGACCTTATTTACATGAACACCTCTCCCCAAGAGTCATTTCAACTTTACATGAGTTATGCCCTCAGTTCCTGGTAGACCAAGTGGTGTATTGAGTCAATGCCATCATCAACACTCAACAAAGTTAAACAGGCAAAAAAGGCTTCATTCAAGACTTGTGCACTCAGCCAGGCATGGTGGCTCACGCTTGTAATCCCAGCACTTAGGGAGGCTGAGGCAGGAGGATTGCTTGAGCCCAGGAGTTCGAGACCAGCCTGGGCAACATAGTGAGACCCTGTCTCTATTTTAAAAATAATAATAATAAAAGAGTTGTGCAATAGAGGAGAGAACCTGGGCTCGATTCTGCTGAACCAAGGAGCTGGAGTGGTTTAAAGAGCTGCAGGGGTAGGTAATCATAAGCCACTATGTTTGCTAATTGGTCTTCACAGCTCAGAGTAAGGTGTCTGCTGAATTTATGCCCCTACCTTTCCACAGAGATCAGGAGATAGGGTGCTACCTCCTTCGATGTTTGCTTTTCAAAAAATGACCCCAGGCAGCTGTGGTGGTGCATGCCTGTAATCCTATCACTTTGGGAGGCCGAGGCAGCAGGATTGCTTGAGCCCAGGAGTTCAAGGCCAGCCTGGGCAACATAGGGAGAGCTTGTCTCTACAAAATATCAAAAATTTAGCAGGGTATGGTGACACATGCCTGTAGTCCCAGCTCCTCAGGAGGCTGAAGTGGGAGGATCACTCCTCCTCAAGGAGGTTGAGGCTGCAGTGAGCTGTGATCACACCACTGCACTCCAACCTGGGTGACAGACTGAGACCCTGTCTCAAAAAAAAAAAAAATTATCCTTAGGTTGGTCCTTAAGAAAGACATTTACTGGGTTGTAAAGCTGAAAGATGCTGCGTATATTTCAAAAGGTCAGAGAAAGAATTTGCAATTGCAAGTTTCTTTCTTTTTAATTTTCATTTTTCTTTATTTTCATTTTATTTTATTTTATTTTAGACAGAGTTTCACTCTGTCCCCCAGGCTGGAGTGTGGTGGCACAATCAGGTCTCATTGCAGCCTCGAACTTCTGGGCTCAGGGGATCCTCCCACCTCAGTCTCCCGGGTAGCTGGGACAACAGGTGCATGCCATCACGCCCGGCTAATTTTTTAAAAATTACTATTTTTAATAAGAGATAAGGTCTTGCTGTGTTGCCCAGGCTGGTCTCAAACTTCTGAGCTCGTGCAGTCCTCCTTGTCTCGACCTCCCGAAGTGCGGAGACTACCCACATGAGCCACCATGCCTGGCTACAATTCCGAGTTTTCTAAAGTGATTGTGACAAGAAAAGGGAGGTCAGGGGCCTACAGCTGGGAAGAAGCCTTCTAAAGTTTAGCCAGACCGGGGAGAACGGTAACGTCATCTTGGTTATCTAAGTCAGTTCTTCACAGAGCACCCCAAATTTCACTCTTCTGCTTGAGACAGACCTTAAGCCCGGTGATACATAAACTTGCAAATTTCAGGCTCCTGGATGTGTGCTTTCTTATGACTAGCCCATTGAAATGAGCTCATCAATGTTTTCTTTCAATGCTTTCATACCAGAGCACTTTGGTTGATGAATTCAGCAAACATTTATGAAGCATCTGGTCTGTACCAGCACCATATTAGGTATGAACAAGATGGCAACATCCCCTCAAAGAGATACCACAGCACTGAAGGAGATGGGTGAATTAATGAACATTTTAAATACGATGTGAGGCCAGGTGCGGTGGCTTATGCCTGTAATTCCAGCACTTTGGGAGGCCATGGTGGGCGCATCACCTGAGGTCAGGAGTTCGAGACCAGCCTGGTGAACAGGGCAAAACCCCGTCTCTACTGATAATACAAAAATTAGCTGGGTGTGGTGGCACATGCCTGTAATCCCAGTTACTCGGGAAGCTGAGGCCGGAGAATCGCTTGAACCCGGGAGGTGGAGGTTGCAGCGAGTCAAGATCCTGCCACTGCACTCCAGCCTGGGCGACAGTGGGAGATTCCATCTAAAATAAATAAATAAATAATAAATAAATAAATCTAATGTGAGAGTTCCTCAAAATAGTAAATAGAGTTACACATGACCCAGGAATTCCACTTGTAGATATCTACTCTAGAAATGAAAATATCTACTGTAGATGTGAAAACATACGTCCACACAAATACTTGTACACAAATGTGCACATCAGCATTATCCATGATCGACAAAGGACAGAAACAACCCAAAGTCCGTCACCTGATGAATGGATAAACATGTGGTATATCTGTACAATGGAGTATTGTTCAGCCATAAAAAGGGATGAGGACGCTGGGCGCGGTGGCTCACACCTATAATCCCAGCACTTGGGAGGCTGAGGTAGGTGGATCACCTGAGGTCAGGAGTTCAAGACCAGCCTGGTCAACATGGTGAAACCCTGTCTCTACCAAAAATACAAAAATTAGCTGGGCGTGGTGGCGGGCGCCTGTAGTCCCAGCTACTCAGGAGGCTGAGGCAGGAGAATTGCTTAAATCCAGGAGGCGGAGGTTTCAGTGAGCCAAGATTGTGCCATTGAACTTCAGCCTGGGTGACAAGAGCAAAGCTTCATCTCAAAAAAAAAAAAAAAAAAGGGGGGGATGAGGTATGGATGCATGCTACAACTGGATGTGCCTCGACAACATTATGCTGAGTGAAAGAAACCAGTCACAAAAGTCTGCAGGTTTCAGGATTCTATTTACATGAAATGTCTAGAATAGGCCAATCCCCAGAGACAGACCAAAGATTAAGTGATTGTCCAAGGCTTTGAGGTTAGGAAATATGGGGAGTGAGTGTTAATTTGCATGGGGTTTCTTTTTGGGGTGATAAAAATGTTGTAAAATCGATCGTGGTGATGGTTGCACAATTTTGTGAATATACTAAAAACCATTGAATGGTACACTTTATTT